GAAACTATATTTCTTGCAAGAACTAATCAGCACTTATTAAATACTAGAGAGCCCCATACTCTGCTCCCCCAGTGGAAAGAATAAAACCTTTAGTGTTAGAAATGTGAATACTCTTTAAATGATGTTTTACCTAGTGGGATTTCCAAAATCATATTATCAACCATTTTTCTCCAAATTTTATTTTTTAAGCATCTGCCGTTTCTCAACTATTATTCAGTGGGTATCATGGGGTTAAAGAAGATAGTGGGAAGGGACAATTATATGGATTAGTAAAGGTGGGTATATACAGAATTCATTATTTTCCAACCTCCTATAACAGCACTTCACTAGACAAACCTAGTAGACAAACAAGCAAAAAAAAAGTGGATTGAATGACCTTTTTGAGCTGTGCCCAGATGACTTTGGCATTTTCCACTCTTGCAAATTTGGCAGTAGATTCAACCAGGGTGCTTTTAACAAGATGAACACCATCCCTTTCAAAATGATTTGGTTACCATAAATCAAACACCCAACTTACAAAAGGCTCTCCTCCACTAATGGACTAATTGTAAAACATTCTGATCTGATCTAATGACAAATAACTGAAGGATGCAGCCATTTTTAACTGATAATAGTCTCCAAGACACCTGTCTAAAAGGGCAGCACTGTGTGCATTTGGCTATGGGTGATTCGGGGCTCTCTTGTTCCACGGCTTGCAGTACTGAATGTCCTCATGCACAGATGGACGCAAACAGGAGCATCTGTTGTCTAGGTCCTCTGAGTGCTTATAGTGCTGCTCCCAAACTTCAGCACACGAATATCAGTCAATAAGTTTAGAATCTAGGGAATAGTTTTTCATAATGCTAAATTCATAAAATGATTGCAACTCTGTGATAAAATGATAGCTGCACGCACAGTGCCTCCACATAATTCTACAACTTGCCTAGTGTCATTTTCGTTTTTCGCCCATGCAGACAAACTCATGGTACCTGTTGTGGTACTGTAGTTTTACTCAATGGCACTTTATTAGACACATTTCCTCTATTGCTCATTCATATCCCTATTTTAATGCCAAAAAAAAAAAGTTTTGTGCCAACATTTGCTTTTTTTCTCTTGTGATTTTCTGCATTACTGCACACACTGGAGTTTGTACTCACCAACGAGCAGGGATTCCCCCCTCAAAGTAAATAGGACAAATTTGTACTTTTGGCAGACCCCCTGTGGGGATCCTGACCATGAAACAAAAAAGCACAACCAGATTGTGGCCTCTAATGGAACAAATACCTTGCTTACTCTTCTTTTCCTTGTAACTATCATTTTCAGTATAATATAAAAAGTATGCACTGGATTTTTTTAAAGAACTGAATATTGCAATTCCTGTGTATTCCTTATGAATTCCCTGTGCTTACTCATCATCAATAAAACAACATAAAAGTGGGGCACATTCTTGAAAAGTAACATACAAGCTAAAGTAGTAATACTGAAACTGCCACATAATTTTTCACCAGCTTGTGAAATTTGTGGCCAGTTTCCTCCTCCTCCTCCCGATCAGGCCTTCTGCCTCCTGCAAAAACAGGTGTGAAGCGGGGGACTTTGCCAACTAAAAAATGGTATACGTGTAAAGTAAGCAATTATTCCCAAATTATCCAGTGTAATGTGGAATTGAGTGGTTCTGTGTGCTGGATAAGTGGAAGTGTTGTGTTTCCATATTGGCAAGAAGCATCAACTTCTGTATAAACAATTATTGTATATGTTAAAAAACCTTCAACCACTGCAGTTTCTAAATATGTTGGTGTATTTAATTCTCACCAGGCAGACTAGAAAATGAGATGCAAAACCTTCTACAGAATATTAGGAAATATATTTATAAAGCGTGGCTAAAACTCTACCTAATGATAATATTTCTCTACAGGACTGCAAGAAAATTAATTTATATTATGTATAATATCTGTACATTTTTAAGATATGTTAGTATAAGATAGAAATTGAATATTTGTAATTATCTGCAAACTTGGATTTATTGAAGGAACTTATGTTAAATAACTGATGTCTGTAATTTTTGTGATCTGTTTTTAAGATAGCCTTGAGGATTCTTTTTAAAAAGCCAATTCACTGGCAGTGCCATGCACAAACATGCTTTCGCTGTCTCTAATTGACCATTTCTTTGATTTAAAAATACTTTAGCACAGATCAAAAAAGTAGATTGTGTCACTGATTTCATCTTTTTATTGTTTCTGACTGAACTCTTTCCTTCTGCATGCCTTTACATTATCATTCTCAATCACCGTTTTTCTGAACAGAGTATTACAACTTTGGAGAAAAATTTAAATGTCACCCAAATTATCTTTGGATTTGTATGTAAAGTGATGAAGTTGCACATGAAATTAGACATCTTTAAAAGTCCCGAACATGGATTTGATTGGCTTCCCCCCACAAGGTTTTGAGATTCCCATAGTGCTGTTTTTGAAGGCTCCAAGTCGGGAATTGTGGTTTTTTTCTTAAGACCTACAAATGCACTAAAGCAAGCATCAATAAAAATACTTGATGAATTCCTCGCAGTATTTATAGTTATCCAATTAATCATGTCAACAAGTGTGCAGCCTTACATACAACTTCTATTTGTTTAGGACAATTAGCATAGAAAGATTTCAGTAGGCTAATTTGAACTTTCTATAAAAAGAAATATATGGCCAAAATCTTCGATTAAAAGCTGCTGCAAGAAATTAATTCATATTGATTAATTATAGAATATTAATTCATATTGATTGATATTCTCTATTAATAACTTTTTAAATACAAGTCTCAAGTATGCAAGAATTAGCAAGACTGGCTATACATGGAAACAAGCAATATGAGATTTCCAAGTTTCAAGTTACTGAACACTCGAGCGATTTCCCCCTTATTCCAGCACATTAACTATATGGGTGTGCTTCTTACTCTCAGACTGTTAAGCTGTAAGAGTGCAGCAGTCAGAATTATCTAGCATTATAGATTATCGTATCTGACTGTCCATTATGCCAATCAATTTATACTGCATGAGCCAGTTTTGCCTCTGTTTCCAAGACTTTGATTTTGATATATATATATAAAGATAACTCCCATAAAAGCTAGAGAATTGTTCAAAGAATGCGAATTCTGGAGCATAAAATGAGGGTGCCCTCCGCCCCCCAAATCTGCGATCACCCCAGCTTGATTTAAGCTGCAAGCGTGGATGAAATATTGCTACTGATAACATTTCCAGTTTGAATAAATGGGTAAGCTACACCTGTTTATAAGAAAGTGACTAAGTCACCCTCATTCCACTGTGCATAAAATACTGTGAAATAAATACTTTGGAATAAAAAGTTTGTTCTGCTCCTTTTTCTCCACACTGCCTTTACTTCCAGCATTGCCAGTGTCCATCTTCAAAGGACACTCTAAAAGAGCGAGGAATGAATTTTATAAACTTTGTAGTACACCTATATTTCCTTCTGGAGTTCCAAGTGTCGCATGTAAAATCTGCAGTGATACAGCTGTCATCAGGCCATGATAAGATTGCTTCTTAAATTATTGTAAAGTATTTGAGGAAACAAATACACTTGGGTTCATGAGAGAGTATGTCAAATCCAAGTGGTCTGTTGCGGAGTGGAAAGTCCTGAAATACATTTCTATCAGATACCTGCTGTACTTAAATAATAAACTGCCAAAATTGTCATCTATGGGTATGTACTTTAAAACTCTTCATTTTTCATGCAGCGTACAGACCTATCTTAGCATGCCAACAATATCAATTAAGGTATCTAATCAGTGTTTCTCAACCTTGGAAACTTGAAGGTGTGTGGACTTCAACTCCCAGAATTCCCCAGCCACGCCTTCAATTTCCCAAGGTTGAGAAACACTGACTTAAGAGGAAAACAGTACATCGTTGGCTCAGTAACTCAACATTCTTAGCTTAACATTCCCAGAGCCTTAAAAGGGGGACTCAAAACTTGGCAGTAGGCTAAGGAAGCAGAATAAGTTAAAAAGTTGCATATTATATTGGCTTGCTTTCAGGGGACTTGAGCGAGTCATTTTCTTCACCACAATCTTGCATTCTTTTATGTTTATGTTTTAACTTTGGTACTGATCTGTATTTAATTTTTATTTTAATTATGTTTTGTTTGACGTTATTCACCACCTAGAGTCCTTTGGGATTGGGGCAGGTTACAAGCACTGTATATAAGGAGATAAATTATTGGATAAACGGGGGGGGGGGGGTTAAAACAGACAGACCAGCTCAGTCACCTACCAAGTTGCATAGTTGAGTGGAGATTTTAATACTGATTGTCACAATCCCAGCCAGACCCTCTGTTCCATCCCAAAGGCTTTTGCCCAGCGGACCTTAGGTTTTTCTTCTCTGCCTTGGGCTCTGTACAGCCACCAAGTAAGATCTACGGGGCCACCAAAGTGTTGGTCTCAGATGCCTTTGTTAGCACAAATTTCGTCATTCAGTTCCACAGAACTCGGATTGCGCAGTGGGCTATTCATCACAGACCAACAATGGCAGGAAGGGGTAATGCTCCCCAAACAGGACCATCTGTAATGCGCTCTACATGGGGGTTCCCTTGGAAAGCACTTAGGAGGCACCAGCGGCACAAGATGGAGCAGTCCCCACGGGCAGCGTGGGTGCATCCCAAGATACTCACTGCTCCCTACTGCTACCCACCTCTTCAGGAACTGCGTGGGTTGTCATTTGGCTTCTGGATGCAATCCAAGACGCTGGTTAGCAGCACCTTGGCTCCAGACTGAGGGACCGGTCAGACCAATCCTCCAGGTCCCATCCACACAAAGGTGTCACATGGCAGGATCTTAGAAGCAGGCATTTTTGGTTCTTGTCCCTATACTTTGGAAATCCTGTTTGCTCCCTTCCTCTTACATTTCAGGAGAGCTGTTAAGACCTAGTGGTTTCGTCAGGCCCAGGAGAAGGGCATACAGTGACTGAAGTTAGAATCTGGTGGATGCACAACATTGTATATTATGGGTGGGGTTATTTATTCGTTTTCAGGGGGTTGCTTTTTTTATGAGGATCTTGATCGTTAACCACCCAGTGTCTTTGAGCATACAAATTAAGTAAGTAAATCAATCTGAACCAGACAGATCGGAAACATATTATCACAAAGCAAAACACTTGTGCAAATATTTGCATAAAATCGTGTAAACAGTCAGGAATAGTCCATTTCTGTCCTGTATTCACAAGTGCACAAAATGATTTTCAGGATCCAGCACACTATACTGGGCCCCCATTCCAAGTGAAGTCGATTAGCAAAAATGGCTAGAGAACGGCAAGTTACTATTACGACCCTCCATTGTGACATTTCATTATTGAACAAGGAATGCTTGCTATTCCTAGATAAGATTGTGATGTCTTGTAAGTTCTTTCTGTTCTTCAGTCGCTCAGGTACTTCAATTCTTTATGATCTGATGGACATAATTTTGCCAGAACTGTCTCTGAGTTCTTGTGACAGTATCTAGCACCTTGTCGGTTGGTGGCCTCTTTTTCAACTGCCTTTAATTTTTCCAAGGATTGGGGTCTTCTCCAGTGACACCTACTTTCACATTATGCATCCATTTCATTGACTGGTACTATAAAGAGATGTGCTGTTTCTTGCTGCCCCAGAACCATAGACAGGTTTATTGCATTTTTGTAATTCCTGTTGAAAATAACAAACGCCTTGCAGCAATTAAAGTCAGGTGACATAACGGTTTTGATAAATATCTCTTAGCCATTTTATTTGAAAACCCTCTTAACGATTTTTGATTAATCAATACACTGAGGAAGTTCATGTTCAGTCAATGATAGCATTGTTTTTCAACCACTCTTCACTTGCATTTGACAATGCATAATTCTTAGCCAGCTCTCTGAAAGTGCATTCTCCTTCTACAATTCTTAGAAGGAAACAGTGTACATATTTCAAGAAATAACCATTCAAATAGGATTAACATTCAATAGTTCAGACATACTTCCCCCTTTATTAGATGTAGCACTGTACAGTTTTTAATTTGGTGAAAATAGGTTTGGCATACTTTACAATTTGAGAATTATCACCTTCTACAATCAATTGCTGACTCTTACTTTTCCATTCTAAGATTGCACTGAAAAGCTAACCAATTTCTTCCTGTGCAATCAAACAAGAAAGGAATATAAAAAATTACAGGCCATTGCACAAAGCATTCCCCACCTCTCCAAATGTTAGCATCTGTCTCATAACACTGAAATTCAGAGTCCTTTTAGAATGATCTGCAGATTCTCTTGGATGGCTAAGCGTTGAATTTTAATATTAAATAACGTGACAAGTTTTGATTCTGAGATTACATAAGCCATTGTTCCTTCTAATATTTTGCTTTTGCAGAAATCTCCTTGATGTTTCCAAAGGCAATTTGAACAGAATAACTCACGACTACAGAACTAAACCCAATGTTTCCAAACTTTCTGAGTTACTACTTCGAAAGATGAAAAACATTTGAATAGGCTAGATATTTAGGTGCTTAGGTTTGCAGCTAATCCTGAAATAATCAGAATATTAATTGGGTTAAGAGTGCCTGAAAGTTGTAATGAATTCAGGAACGCTCTATAGAGGAAGAAATATAGAACCCGTTGCTGAGGAACACTGATATAGGACATTCTGCAGTTCTGGAAACTTCCTGCAAATCAGGAAAAAACGAGCCTCACTTATGGAGTTGCGAACAGGTGCGACATTCACGGCTCACGCGCTCCAAAGCATGCGCTTGGTCGTTTAGTCCAGCCTTCCCCAACCTCGCGCCCCCCTCGCGTGACTGGACGAGGGGTTGGAGCCCCACAGCTCTCCTGGCCACCAGCGGGAGAAGGCGGGTTCGGGGGCCTGGGGGCCTGGGGCTGAGGGCGTTGCGAGCCCGCTAAGACTCAGGGGAGGCTTCAGCGTGGGGAAGGCCGCGTTGCCGGGGCGATGGGCGGCAGAGGGTGCGCCGCGCCGGAAGCCCCGCCCCTTCCTGCGCGCTGCTCCACCCTCCTTGGCGCCCGGGGCGCGGATTCCTCAGCCCTAGAGCCAGAAAAGGAGGCGAGGAAGGCGTCGTGTGAACGCTTCCTCGGGGCCGGAGTTCTTCCCGCAGCGCCGCCGTCAGTCCCCTCCGTGC